CTATTTACCATGGCATACACACCCACAAAACCCAACACGTCATATTTTCTGAAACTTAAACCAAGTGGTAATTGCCCCCTAATAATACATTTAATAAAACAGTTTGTTATCCACAGCACGTCTAGTATTTCTGGATTTCAAGGTGAAATTAAGAGGACAAGATAGAATATCTGTATCGACTGGCAGATTTCTTCCTGGAATTTGATGAAAACAAGTCGGCACATTTTTACAGTATGCAAATTAGAATAACACTGTGGATAAGTTGGCTGGAACATTTTTGCTGAAAATGTTTTCCCCAAAAAACACTTGGTTGAATTCTCAGAGAGGCGATATTTTCTTGTCAATGGGCAGGGGTAGTCTAGCATTATTGGAATTAATTACGGGACTAGTACATGCTTTGCAGGTGGCATTTGTACTTACCCTATTCGGAAAAGATCTTTAGAAGTGAATGGAATCATCACATTGTCATTTGTTAAACCCCGGCTTTTGCAGGTCGTATGCAACCCATTTGATGGGCGACGCACGACGGGCGACGCACGATGCACGACGGAAAATGGCATGTTTGGAACTGGTAAATGGCAGAATTGGGACACAACAAAAAGTAAAATGCGACGGACGACGGGCGACGGCAGATATGGAATTCCATAAGGAAGACATCACGGGTTGACACAATGAGTGACGGGTTTCAAAGGCTAATGGTCACTGGAGATATTGTCATCAGTACGAAGTCAATATGGTTACGACAAGACTCAGATATCATCAGTGAGACAACACTCACCAAGGCGAATCTTCAGAAAGTGATTAACATCAAGTGGTAAGTGGACTAAATTCTGTCAAATAGCAAATAAGGTACCTACATTATTCATTAAAAAATACCGATAATATGAAAATATGAACCTAAAACAAATGGAAAAGAAATATTATTGAAGAGACGGAAAAAGTTTCCCGTTTTTAAAAAAAGTGCATCCGAAAATTTGGCGACACAAAACACTGATAGGGAAAGTGTGGAATTGTACCGCACAAAACATGAAGCTCTGCATTTAAAATGCTGCTGACACCTTCTCCAAGATCATTATTTTTGGAGACAGCACAAGAATAAAGGAAAAGTAACATGAAATTAATCTAAAAGCCATTTCCATAAATGGAAAAAAGAACCCGGTACATGTGCAACAAGCAGTAGTTAGTACGATGCTTAACAAAATAAAGTAGTGAAAGTCATCCAATAAAACAAAACCAGCATCCAAAAGACGTCAAAAACGTTTGAAACCATCTTTCTCGGATTCTACACATTCGGAAACTTAGGTGAACTTTGTTAGGAACATATGCGCTCAAATACTTTTGGCGCACTTTAACGGCGCCGCAGCGTTGTTTATCTCCGATTTTGTGCTGTTTTCTGTATTGGCGCTTATTTAGTGTAGTGAAAGTAAAAGGTCACGCAGTGAGCGTCTGGAATCCTCGCGCCGTCCGCCTATGGAGACTTTACATGGGGCTGTCCTATCACATGCGATAATTTTTGAAAGAATGATCTCTCACTGAAACCTATGGTGTACTATTTACGACAAGCATTTCTCTCTCTCTCTCTCTTGCCTCCCTCCAGGCGACGCAACCAGACGACGCGACGGCAAGACGCGTGCTCCATTGCGTCGTGCCGTCGGGTCGAACCGTCGCCTTCTTGCCATTTCGTTTGTACACATACGACACTTCGCGTCGTGCGTCGCGTCGTGCTGTCGCCCGTCGCGTCGTGCTGTCTTAGGTCCTTTCTTTGTTGCATTTTTCTGCCTAAATTTAAACGCCCCCCCTTCTGTCGCCCGACGCGTCGTGTGCTGTCGACCTTTACGTCATGGTGTTTATAGAGGGCGCCTTTACTGTTTTCTTTCATTCCCTTCTCCCGGCCCGTGCTTGCACAGTGCATGCCATAGGTACCAAGCCTTGATTCTGCTGTTCTTTTTTGTGGAATCTTTCTAACTTTGTTTTTTCATTAAGAATGAGTTGTCGAAGAAAACTCTTTTCCTTTTTATAAATCAAATGTAATCAGAAAGAGCTTCGCGACTAATCAGCATTGTCTTCAGGAAAATATAACATTAACGGTCAGCCACAACAATGTTTTAGCTTTTCCTGATCTTATTCTGATTTTTCTAATGATTATTGTAAATCCATTGTAAGATACAATACAACAATCATTATTACGTGCTTGCAAAAATGTAACATGCAGATCTAATGAAAGGCCAAACAGAGAGGAAGAAAAGACACCGTCACAACGGAAGCAGGATCTGCAGTGTTTTAATCAGAAACACGCCGGCGGACTAATATCATTGAAAGTGTGGTGCTGATGAAGTTAACGAGGCAGACTAAAGTGGAGGAAGACTGAAGACTGAATATTCTGAGGGTAATAATATAGTGCAGACTGGATGGTAATTACCTAAACCCGTGGTCAAACTTGCGGTCGTACAATTGTAGACAAGTTGTCTGGAGGAGTGAGAGAACTACTTGGAAACTGCTGGCACGGATCACAGAGAAATATTTATAAGGTTACAAATCTACCACAAATGGGAACTTCATCAACGGTCTTAAAAAGAAATAGGACAGACATTCGAACCAGGATCAGCCGGGTAAAAAAGTGACGAATTCTGGGCTTACACTTATTATGTGAGAGCACCTACATACCCAGATTTTCTTTTTGCTCGTTTTCATTTTTTTCGATAAGATATGACAAAAATTAATTCAATTTGATGAATAGATGAAACAACCGCCCCCCAAAAAAATCAACGCCTGATGCCCAGGTCATGTATTTTGCCAGCACGATGGACAGAAATGAGAGAAAACAAAAGAAATCATTGGCTGGGAAATTAAGGAGTGACGAATTCTGAGCTGGTAGTTTCAACTTATTTTGAGAGAGCATTTCCTTAATATTCGGATTTTCTTTTGCTCTTTTATCATTTTTTCAATAAAATATGACAGGAATTGTCCCACTTAAGAAGTAATTGAAAGAACAAATTTATTTTAAGATATTTGCATGTCATATTCCTATCCAAGGGTTCCGGTAGTGCGCCACCAGGGGTCAACTTTCAAGCTCTCTAGCATCGCCCGCTGTGAGTATGGAGCTTTAAATCTTTTTTCCCTCTCAGCCGCTGGTCTCCACCACAAGTTAAGAATATACACATATTTAAGCAAACGTATGTCAGCAATCCAGGGATCTATTGGTTTTCACCCTAGCCTGAAAAACTTTAAAGAAATCCTTCCGTGCATGGTACGACAAAAGTGGCAATTGACAAATCGTAGGATATTCATGGCAGTGATGCGGACATTAAGAATGAAGTGTTATAATTACACACCCTTTGTTCTTCCAGTTTAACTGAAAATCTGAAAGGCTGTTAATTTTTCATGGTTCTTCCATGAAGAAT